TTTTTCTGTCTACAAAATGAAGCTAGTGATGGTACTCACTCTTTTTATTTATTTATTTATTATTTTTTATTTTTTTGACAGGCAGAGTGGACAATGAGAGAGAGAGACAGAGAGAAAGGTCTTCCTTTGCTGTTGGTTCACCCTCCAATGGCCGCCGCTGATCCGAAGGCAGGAGCCAGGTGCTTCTCCTCGTCTCCCATGGGGTGCAGGGCCCAAGCACTTGGGCCATCCTCCACTGCACTCCCTGGCCATAGCAGAGGGCTGGCCTGGAAGAGGGGCAACCGGGACAGAATCCAGCGCCCCGACCGGGACTAGAAACCAGTGTGCCGGCGCCGCAAAGCGGAGGATTAGCCTAGTGAGCCGCGGAACCGGGGTACTCACTCTTTAGGGCAGTTACTGCACCTCTGTTTAGAAAGTGCTTAGAATATTACCTGTGACACGTAGTAGCTATTGTAAATAAGGTAACACATTTTCCGCAGTGTTTTTAACTTAAGAAAGGTGAGAATCTTACACATTAGCTCAGGTAGTAGATCTCAATATATTTATAAAAGTGGGTAAAAGTATAAGTTCAAAATGAAATTTGAAAATGTCCAATTTTGTTAGTAGGTCCTCTCTGCCAATACAATGCATTAATATCTACCCTAATTTCCTTTTGATTGTAGGACATAACTATTTGGCTGCCATACCTACGATATAATTTTGTAATCAGTGGTCCTGTTACAGATAATAAACAAATTGTACCTGAATGGTTGAGTAACTCTTGATACAAAATCTAGCTACTGACAATTTCTAATCTGAAGGTATCAAATTGATATAAAAAAGTAACAATTTAGAGAATGTATGGATACAAGATTAATTTGCTTTATTAAGCCTTTTCTTTAATCTTAGGAAGGAGAACCAATACAAAAATGTTGTCCACATTTAAAGAATCCCTTTCTAAGCACCAAAGTCAGGAATTAAACCTGCATATTAGGAAATCTAATGGCTTTTTAATCATTGCAAGTTATTTTAGAGGCTAATTAGTACTCCTGATGTTTGAATAGATTTTTACCTTAATTTATGTGAAATCTTTTAATAGACTATGTTTTGTGGAGAGTGAAATCTTTGTAAGGTAGCCTCCTGTCATCTTTAAAGTATAATTTCTTGAAAACTACACTTCAGTATGGGACTCTATAAGGATCGTTAATAGCTTGTGGTTCAATGTTTTTTAAAAGTGTAATTGTTTTCATGAATATTTTCTGTTACAAATGTTTTCCTGGACAAGGTTAGATGAAGTTTTGTTACGTGCAATAGCAACAGATTGAGTCATGTATTGATGAAGTGCAAAGCTAAGCCTTCCTTATTTCATGATCTTAATTCATTCAAATTTAAAGCATTCATTTAACTAATACATTAACAATATTATAATAATACTAATAACATTGTATTAGGTACAATGAAAATGTAGATGCCAATTACTCCAGCTCAACTTTATTTGGGTTAGTTACTGAATCATACACTGAAATTTAAAAGTACAAATAAAAAAGATCTTTTTTTGGGTTGCTGAAGCTAAATTTAGACTAAGTCTTCTGATACTTTTTAATGTAGAAAACATTGCATGTCATGTTATTTTTATGAAATTTACATGCTTTAGAACACTATCGTGTTTAATTTTTCAAAAAAAGTTTCAAGAACTTCTATCTTATATTTCATTTTTCCTATAAAACAAAAAATAACAAATAAGACTTCAAGATATTTTAATTTCTGGCTATTGAAAAATTGTCATCTTTTAAAAATTTTAATTGGCAAATAAAATTTGTATACATTTTGGAAATACAACTTGACATTTTGATGTAAGTAAATATGGTGAAAAATTTTAATCAAACTCGTTAATAAGTCCATTACCTAATTATAGCTCTTCTGCGGTGAGAATGTTTAAAATCCACTCTTAGAAATGTTGAAGCACACAAGCATTATTAACCGTGGTCATGGAGCTGCACAACAGTCACCGGAACTTCTTCCTCCCGTTTGACACGTTATATCTTTTGTCAAGTCCTGTCATTTTAAATCACTTATGTATGTGTGGAACAGGTTGGCTCTTTTATGCACTATCCTACTGTTTAGTTTGTTAGAATAGAAATCAATTCTGACTGCAATTGGCATACTCAGGAAAACTAGGCAACTAGAGCAAAAATTTTAAATTTAGTATTTATTTAAAGACTTACTTGGATTGCTTTACATTTTTAGACCAAATAAAATTCAAAATTATGTTTAAAATCATTTTAAAAAGGAAAAGAAAGAAAACAAAAAAAATCATTTTAAAGTTACTGTTATTAAATTATTCCTACTTTCTATAGATTAAATATATTCTTAAACAAGTAAATTCTCTTTTGAAGTTATTCTATTTGCTTCTATCTTGTACTTATTCCAACATATTGGTCACTTTTAATTTCCCATCACTCTCTCCAAATTTGAAGTCTTTCTTATTCAGACTTTAAAAACTACAGGTGGAAAAAATATAGAGAGAATACCTTTCCATTCAATTATCTTCAATAAAAATGATCTCAAAAACAATTATTGAAAGAATTTATCCCTTTGTTAAACTACACAGAAGGCTGAAAGAATGTCCTTACATCATGCTGTTGGTATAGTCAATGGGCTGATTTAATACTGTTGGTTGCAACTTACAGTATTTTCATCCACATTAAAGTTAAAATATTGGTGGTTATTTTTGCATTCGTTCTGTGAATTAAAGTTGGAATAATGCCACTACTCCCTATAATTTAGCACACTATAGTTACTAATAGTGGAACAAAGTCTAAATTGTATTACTTTGGGATCAACCGTAGGTTCGCATGAACAATTTTCTTTTCTGTATCTTCCTTTTTTAAAGGAAAATGCAGTTTTTCCCCTGCTGCAGAAGTATCAGATTCTTGCAGCATCCATGACACTTGTAAGCATTCAGTGGTCAGACACCACTACATATCCTTCAAATGATATGGCCCAGTGAAGCCGGAAGCCTGGTATCTCAGCCATCCACCAGGACAGAGCCAGCAGGCCCCAGCTGGTGTGTTGAATCCAGAGTAAGGTGGGAAATGGAATTTGCATTTTGAAAGTAAACTCGCCTAACATTAAATCTTTGGACATACCTATTAAAGTGCATTGAGGGCTTCAGAAATTATTGGTTCAAATTTATAAAGCTCATTTCCCAAAATTACTCTAGAACAATTAAATCTTAATTTTATGAACCTTCTGTGTTTTTGAATTTACACTAGATTATATATTTTTTAAATTTTGATTAAATGTTGTTCAAGACTCTGTTTTGTCTGAATCCTTGAATATGTATGACATATGCTAAATGAAGTATATTTATAAGTCTTTTAAAAGTGCTGAGAAGGAAAATAACAGTATTAATCACCAACACCCACTGGAGTAGTGACGTTTGCCCTTCACTCTGAACTTGCCATTTTGATCTTCACATCAATGAAAAACTCTTACAAAACAAAAACTCATTCATGTTCTTGTTTTCACTTGGACTCCTGTGCTCACTGTTCGGGAACACAGAGGTTGGGACTCTTGCCCCTGTTACTGTCTTCCTGTCATCTTTTGACACCACAGTCATTAACCCATCTCGTGCAGATACTAGGACAATTTACTTAAAGGATTTCTTACAAGTTTGAGATGTCTCATGTCTCCCATTGGCCTAGTGTTACATAAACAACTGTAGAGAATATCTTCTATTTCTTAGACCTTTAGCTACCCAGGTGTGGTAGAAGTATGATGAAAACAATCCCCAGCCCCAACCAAACCTTTAACTCCATGACATTGCATATAGGTTGGACTCCGTCTTTCAGACAGCATTTTGAATAGAAAATGCCATGATAAATTTTCAAACCAAGCACTTTCTTCATGTAACACTTTGCAGTTTAGGCTGGATCTGCCTGGCATGTGGAATCATGCTTTATGGTGAGAAACCAAGAGGGATACTGTGTCTCTTTTCTAAAAGGAGAAAGAAACCCTCTTCCAGGGCTCATTAAAAAGGGTTTTAAAATTGGAGCCAATAAAACACTACTGTCAATTCCTCCAGCCTTTTCCTCTCAGCAGCATTTTAAAGAGGCATCATTTCTCTCTCCCTTTGGACATGAAGCTCTGCTGGCAACACACACGCAGACATTCTAAATGGTAACAACAAAACCAACTTCTTTGTGACTCCTGAGCAGGCACACAGACCAAGTGGAGCTGGGAGGCTGCAACCCCCCCCCCCTTCCGATCCCCCCAGCTTCCGATTCTCAAATGGATTGCTTTTGCAGATAGGCGTCCCCAGGCAAGATTCACTCTGCCACCCTGACATCTCTTGCTTTGCTTTCCTTCAAAAGTGGAAAGCAAAGGCTTTGCCCCAATAGGAAAGTTTGCCTGAGCACCCGATGCCAGCATTTTCGGTAGCGACCCTGATAGACAAAGCTTTGTGGAGCTTAACCTCCAAAGTCAGAAGACCCCAGGCGCGAGTAAACCCAAAATAACTTGTGTGCAGGACAGAAAGACTAGTACAGCCCTCCTCTGACAGTGACGCCTCGGCGCTTCTGCTGCCCAAGGCAGGAAGAGGAGGGGTTGGCGACGACTTCCCATCACAGACTCCCTTGCTCTGGTGAGCAAGTCCACCTTGAGATGTGGAGGGAGGGCTGGCTCAGACGGGCTTGCAAAGCTGTACGTCTAATGGCCCAGCCTTCGGCCCCAGCCGCCTGCCAACTTCAGGCTGGGACTCCAGGGTTCTCGCTCGGGGGCTCTCGAGATTCAAGGCCTGTGTCCGCTCAGGGATGCTATCAGGCCAGTTCCCCGCTGACCTTTGAGGGCCTCTGAAATCAACTTTCCCACACACAGTCGGAAGTGTTTGCGCTTCTTTCCATCTTGCCAGAGCCTCCCGCACAGCCCACCCCTCTCCCCCCTCTTCCCTGCCCCCTCCCCTCCCTCCGGCCTCTCGTCCCCCCCGTTGCGCCCCCCCCCCTCTCTTTGTTGTCTCCTACCTGCTGGCCAGGCTCTGCCTGCAGTGCTGCCTGAAGGGCATCAGGTGGTAGTTCATGGCGTCCAGTAGCAGCTTCTGGCAGACCGGGTCGGTGCGCATGAAATCCACGGACTGGACCCGCTCCACCAGCTCCGGGGCCGGGATGAGCGCGAAGCGGAGGCGCTTCATGAGGTCGGGCGCGTACTGCATGCGGGTCTCGCGGTCGTGCTCCAGCCACAGCACGGACATCTGGAAGAGCGCCAGCTCTGACTCCACGGGGGGCGGCAGCGAGTCCAGCAGGGCGCGCATCTCCTCGAAGTTGAGCAGCAGCACATCCTCCACCAGGTACTTGTTGGCCAGCTTCTTGGTCTCCTCCAGGCCGTGCAGCGCGGCGATCTTGCACACCTGCTTGTAGTTCTGCACCGAGATCTGGTCGTTGAGGAACTGCACGCAGAGCTTGGTGACCTGGGGGATGTGCAGGATCTTGCTGACCGACAGCACCTCCTCCACCGTGTCCAGGGACAGGGTCACGTTGGCCGTGTAGAGGTACTCGAGCACCAGGCGCAGCCCGATGGACGAGCAGCCTTGCAGCACCAGGTTGTTGATGGCCCGGGGGCTGGTCAGCAGCTTGTCGTCGGGGGAGGAGGAAGGAGTCCCGGGCTCCTCCTGCGGCGGCGGCGGCTGCTGCTGTGGCTGCTGCTGCTGCGGCGGCGGCTGCTGTTGGTCCTTGGGGGCCCCCAGGCCGTCCTGGCCGCCGACCCCTCCTCCCCCGAGAGGCGGGTGGCTGGAGAAGAGCGATCGGAAGTACTGCGAGCAGGAGGCCAGCACGGCCTTGTGGCAGTGGAACTGCTGGCCCTGGGCCGTCAGGGTCACGTCGCAAAACAGCTGCTTCCTCCACAGCAGGTTGAGGCCGTGCAGCAGGTTGTCGCTGTGGCTGGGGTCGAAGGTGGAGGTCCTGTCCCCCGATCTGGACATGGCGAGCTGGCTGGGCGCACCTGGCTTTAAACCCTCCTCCAACCTGGCAGACAGGGGTGGGGGATGGGAGGGAGGGGAGCGGGGTGGTGGAGGGGGTGGGGTGTGGTCGGGGTGGGGAAGGGTGTGGAGGGGAGGGGAGGGCGAAGAACAACAATCAAGGCTCAGCCTAGCTCCCACCCGGCGCGCTCAGGACCCCGACGCTTGCAGGAAGGTCTGAAGGCGCTGGATCCGTGAGCGCCACCCGAAGGGCCCTGCCTGGGGTCCGGGCGCCCGCTCTGCTCCCCCGCTACTCCTCTCGCCACCTCCTGCGCACTTTGTCCCTCACTTTCTTAAAACCACCCGGGCTCGGCTCCGGGCAGCGAGAGCGGTGGCAGCAGCGACGGCAAAGTGGCGGCTGAGGCCGAGACACCTCGTGGGCTCGTGTCCATGCCGGGCCGGTTGCAGGGAAAGGCCGCGAAGTGGGGAGCCGGGGGTTGCCCCGGGAGCGCAGAGGCGACGGACGGCGGTGGTTCCAGGTCAACTTGTGCCCGAAGCTTTGCCGCTCGCAGTTGGCCCAGTTTGGGGGAGGCCGGAAAGGGGGCCACATAAGCGTGCGGGTGGGCGACTGTCGGCTCCCCCAGAGCTGGGCACCCCTTCGATTATCCTTGCTGCCCCGACAAACTCCTGGGCTAATAGTCTGAGGGAGGAGATAAAGCCCTTTCTTCTCCCGGGAAAGTGCAGCGGAGCGCGGCGAGGAGCAGCTCGGTGGACTCGGCAGAGGCGGGAGCTGTCCTTATCAATTCTAGCTCATTTCCCTCACCCCGGCCCTGCCCGCTTCCCTGCTTCGCAAACTGTTGGTTTCCCCGTCACCACTCAGTTTTGCTAATTTTCCAGAGGCGCCTTTGAACCTGGCAGGAGAGCCCTTGCACCAGTGTGCTCCCGACCCTGGCCCCTCTCCCCGCCTCCCGCAGGTCAGGGCTCGGAAGTTCAGATGCCCGTGCCACCCCCCCACCACGTCCCCTCCCCGCAGCGCCGGGCGGCATCAGGGAAGGTGGGGGTAGAGAGTGGGGCCACAAGGGTGGGTTTCCAGCAAGAGCCGGGAGGCCGGGAGGGATTCCCGCGGACGGCTCTTCCTCCCGGGCCCCAGGCACAGTCGCTTTAACTCCAGTTAACTACCAGAAGTTCAAGTTAGAAAGCAGGTGTTGGGGGAGGGGTGGGGGTTTCCTTTTTGCGGGAGGGTGGGTGGTGGGGCGGTCCGGTGCCGGGTTCCTGCTACCCCCCCCGCCCACCCCCCCAGCCTCGTAGCCGGCAGCCGCTGCTTCCTTACGAATTCCTAGGTGCAGCCCCCAGCGACCCCCCCCCCCCAACCACCACCACCACGCGGGCACCCCCCACTCCCCCGGCCCTGGAACTACTACTCCAAAAAGTCTGAGCCGCCCGAATGTAGGTGGCGGAGGGTAGGGTGGGGGAGGCGAGGAGAAATCCGCACGCCCGGTCCTTAACCTGTAATTGCACCTTGCAGGGCTAAGCCGAAAGGGACCCTCTCTGCCCACATCCGGCCCGCAAGCCCGCCGGCCGCCAGAGCCGCCGCCGCCGCCCGGCTCCGAGGGATCCCGCCGGACCTGCCCCTTCCACTGCGGCTCACTCTGCCCTGCCTGGCGCCAGTCTTGGATCGCCCGCTTCCTATTTATACCAGACCGGGCTCCTCTCCACTCACTTTACCATCCCATTGCAGGTGGACCCTCACCTCGCTCGCGCTCCCGCCCCCGGCAGCACCCCCGCCCCCGCCCTCCAGAGCTCTGGTTTGCCTGAGACATCTCAGAGTCTCTGCCTGGAAGTGGACCCGGTCATACCTCTCTCCGGCTCTCCCCGCTTCACTGTCTCCAACCCCCCCCCCCATCTTTTCCTATTCCCCTTCCTTCTTGGGTGCCTCCCCCCACTCTGCTTATTTCTTGCAATATGAGTTGTATTCTTTATGAGCGTTTGCCACACACCTGCCCCCACCCCTCTGAACGGCTCCTTTCCCGCCCCCCCCCACAACAACCCAAAAGACATGACAAAAATACACACAAGGCAGACACAAGGCCAGAAACTTACCTGCTCTCAACCAGCTGCAAAGTCAAGGCTCACTTGAGCTCCCCCCCAAAAAATCAATTGTCGTTCCTTTTTAAAGGTTTGCTCTCTCCTTGGGAGGGGGGGAAAGCACCTTCTGGTTCCCAACTCCAGGCAGTCACTCTTTACAATTTATTTTGTCGTACATCATTTGATCACCATGAATTAGCAACAGCAAGAAAATGTAGGAGAGGGAGAAAAGAGAGAAAGAGAGAGGGAGAGAGAGAGGAGAGAGAGAGGGAGAGAGAGAGGGAGCAGAGCTTTCTGCAAGAGAAGAAGAAGAAAAAATGTACGTGTGACAAATTATGCTACCAAGAAACAACACATCATTATCCTTGGGCCTGGGGCTCAGTGAGTCGTAACGAGAGTAATAGGAAATCCACGGTTGGGGAGAGAAACGGTCGTGCTTGGCCAGTAGAGAGAGACCATACAGGGGGATGGATGCTGGAGAGACTCGCAAAATTATGGCTCAAGGCTATTGTAAAAATTGTCGAGCGTAAATGACTGCGATTTCAAACATCTTTGGAAGAAAGAAGGGGAAAAAGCGAGCCCCCCCCTTCCTCCCTCTCCCTCTCTCTCCCTCTCTTCTCTCTCTCTATAAAGAACCGTCAAGTTTTAGTGCGCATTGCTAATTAGTCAATTTCTCTCTGCCTTCACAGGCTGGCGACTTCGCTGCTGAGCTGAAACTGCTAATTTCTGTGACCAGCTTTTTTCTTAGCTGTGATCTGGATGAATGAGTAGCTGTCTCACAGAGATGACAAAAATAAACTCTAATCCCCCCCAAAATTTCCACTACATCTTTCTCATGCATAGATTTATGATCTTCAAGCGCTCTGTGCAATATGCAAACTTTTTGTGTGTCTGTATATATGCTGCTGTTTCCAGATTTCACTACATTGGTATGCAGCTTGTCCCCCTCCATTCCCCCACCCTGCCACCCCCCAACACATATACTCCATGAAAGGCGGAAGCCATCTGATCTCCAAGTATGCCAAATGACACTTTATTGTATCTTGGTGTTTGGGGGCTGGGTCTGTCTTGGAGAACCTTGGCCCTTGCCCAGGGGGTGAGTGGCTGAGTGCACACACCTGAGGTGGGGGAAGCAGCATTGGTAGAGAGAATGGAGGCCAACCCCTGGCTGAACATTTGTTTTTCTGCACTGTCCCGGCTTTATGACCTTATTTGAAAACACATTTTCTCTCTCATTTTGTCAGGTTAAACAACTGCCTGTGAAGTTCCCTACTAGCTCTTCAACAGATAAGGGTTCCGAAGGCTGCTTTTTTTTTTTTTTAATTGGAAGATTATCATCTTGTCAGATTTGTATTTCAATTAGGACACTTTGATTTGCAGGAGCTAGGCTTAAGTGCTAGGAAAGCAGGTGCAATTTCACAAAACGTAGCCTTTCAACTCTGGAGCTCTTCAGGTAGGTCAGGGCGACTACAGCCTCATGTGTATGCCCCTGGTTAGCATGCACCACGGACCCCCCTCCTGTTTCTGGATTTTAGCTGTGCCTGAGATTCATGCGCATTTTGGTAGAGGACATGTTCTCCAGACTTATCTCATGATGAATTGCACCTTTACATTTATAGCCCTGCATTTCAGTTGTCAATGGGGGCTGGAGGTGTCCCACAAAGGCAGGGGAAAAAAAAAGTAGGAAAAGGAAGGTATGCCCTTGAATAAAATGGACAGGAATGAAAGCTGGACATCATTTAAGCTGAGTTCTGTTTGCTATTAAGCCTATGAATATGGTTTATTCTAATCTCTCTGTGCTCCGATTAGTAATTAACATACACATCTGGGCACCACTGAAAGTCTGTCTTTTAGCCTCCCCCTTTGACTTGTGAGAGATGGAAAGACACCTGCTCAGGGGAGGGGGAAACTGAAAAATTTTCAGGTTCCAAAATTGGGAATTCCCCATTCAGAATGATAAACATTAGCATGTGTATGGGATACTTACTCTTAAATAAATGAATAAGGATAGAACCAAAGCATTTATTGCTCGCATAGGTCCTTTTCTATCGAAGTCCTAGGTTACCTGAGAGTAAGACCTTATTCTGAGCCCTCTGAGATGCTGCACTCTCATACTCACAGTTATAATAGCAAAGCGCCAATAGCTGGTGAAATAATAGAAAAGGAGTTGTTGTTGTTTAGGGCAGGGGAAAGAAGAACAGATTACCTAAATCCCCTGGTCTTACTAATTGGTCTGCTTTTTTTTTTTTCATTTTTTGAATTTTCTTTATTTGGGTCTTTAACAAGAAAATTGTACAACTATAAGACAGAACCGTTTTGGGGAGTCTGTGTGTGTCATTAGCAATTAAATCTGTCAAGTTTGTGGAGCGTCATCAAACTCTCACACTTACAAATTGCTACCTTTATGTTTGTTGGACTTTGGGTGTTGGTCTTCTAGAAGCTTCCAGTGTGGTATTTGGAACTAAACCCAAAGGTGAATAATGATAGTACTGATCACTTGACTTATTACCATTTTCCCATTTTATCATGAAGGAAGTAAAGTGTGAGTATGTCTACGGGTCTCAAAGTACCCTAGCTTCAAATTTTATCTTTTTAAGTTGATCACTAATGATGATTACTAAGCTTTTTATTGCTTCCAAAGAATATAAAAAGTACATTTCAGAAATATTAACTTCCTTTCATTTTAATGCCTATTTAGCAACTAAGTAGAAGGGGAAGAGTAGGGTTGGGGCTCACAATTAATTCTAAAACAGCTGTTGAAGTGAATAAATCTTTTTTTCTTCTGTATTTCAAAGTTACCCTATCTGATAATGTTTAAAATTTCAGAGAAAAATTACAACGATTTGTATTTTGTAAGCATTTAAAAAAGAATATTGCTATAAAAAAGATCCTTCGTGATCTGCGCATAAACTAGCATATAGATGGTGTAAAGCTCACTCCTCCAATATCTTGCACTGGCTTTGACTGAAATTATTGCAGAACTCACAAATGATATGAGACTATTTACAATAAATTCCGTTATGAAAGATTCAATTTGCAGCAATCAGATGCTAGCTACTAAGCGATTGTAAGTATTTGAATTTTATCCTACTTCGCTGTTCAACGTACAGAAATTGCATCTGTGTGTTTGATCTGTCCTGCTGAGCACTATCAGCAGCTTGCATCTCTGCCACTATTGTTTTTAAAATGGCAGGAAAGACGTGACTAGTCAAGAGCACTCAGCAGGATGGATTTCACGTGGCAGAGGAGAAGCCAGAATTGTCTCTGAAAAAAATACAATCATGTAGTCCTCTAATTCAAGCAGTCATCATACTTTGACTGAATTATCAAAATTATTCATCAGTGAATCTGCCTTTAAACTATGTACAGTAGAGAGATTCTGAAACTATCACCACTGAGCAGTCTAGGAGAGCTGCCGTTAGCTCCAAGTGATCTGGTTGGCCTTCAAGGTGGCAGAAATCCAAATGTATCAGTGGATCACTTACTCGGGATCATCTCACTGGACTGGAAGAACTGAGATTATCTTTAGAGCAGTTCTAGAAGCATTTCACTAGCCAACATGAAAGGGTAACCACAGTCAAACTTTATTTTCCTCTCTCTTGACTTTTCTGCTTTAGATGTATGAGCTATCACCAAATTATGTAAACATCAGGTTCTGTCCTGGCCTATATTTCTTTTAGTTAGTAAATGCTACTTCTGTGTGGCCTGGCTATTGAGGTTGCCATCACTGCAAAATGGACGGGTAAAGAGAGGAATTATTCTGTTTTACAGATGGAATAAAATTGAGGAAAGAAGGACCACATAGCTCCCTCAAAGCAGGGAATAGCAAAACCTGCATATAACTCATAGGTTTCTAGTTTTTAAATTTTGAGTAGAGATGGCCAGGGCTATCACAAAGAAGGAGAAAAAAATCTGCAGTAACAATAAAAAGCAAGAAATGGTGCTATTGGCTATTATTTACTGGTGTTCCAGTGTCAAGCCCAGCTTTTGTAAACTGTTCTCCAGACTCCCCTCACTATGGTAGTACCAGCCCCTGGCTTTGGTTGTGTTCTTGTGACAGGCCTTGGTTCGCTACACAATAGAAATCCCATACATTGCTCAAGATTAAACTCAGGTTTCTTTCCCTGGAAGCCTCAAACAATAATTATTGCTATTATATACTGAGCTCCTTACTTGCATGGTGGACACTCTTCCAGATCCTTAAGATGTTTTGTTGTCTTAATCCCCTTGCTAATCTTATGAGAGAGTATGGCCAATAGCAAACATGACGGCACCTCTCCACACTTCCTGGTGTATGCACCCTGTTTTATTGTGACTTTGCTGCTCTTACCATCCAGAGTGGAATTTATTTCCCCCCTCCTGGAAACTGACCTGGCCTTGTAGAAAGCCTAGGCTAGCCTGGTAGAAGGTGAGACTCTCTCTGGCTCACCTGGTAACTGAATTCAGATGCATGCATGAGTCTGGCAAAGACAAGAGAACCGGCCCGTTTCCAATTATTGAGCTCCAGAACCCTAAACTAAATAAGTGGCCACTGTGCTAAGTCTTTAGTTTTTGGGGTGATTTGTTCCATAGTAAAAGTAGCTGATAAAGAAAGGTACTATTATTATTGTTATACCCATGAAATGCAAAGAATGCACGTGAATTTTTTAGGTTCACACAGCTTCTCAGAGGTAGAGGTGAGGTTCAAACCAAAGCTGCTTCACTCCAGAGAGCCACAAAATAGATACCCATGTTCTATGTATTTTCCTTCACTCATTAAGTATATTAAGTATTTATCACCCAGCAAAACAACGTGTTCAATGCTGAGGATACAATGATGAATAAAACTGCATCCTTGCCCTCAAGGGGCTAACATTCTAGTGGAGAAGACAGGCAGATAAATTAGACACAGCAAGTGAATAATTACAATTTATAATAGCTCTAATAAGGGTGCATATAAGGAACTACTGGAGCAGAAAGAAGCAGGCCCGTAACTTCCTCATGGTACTATTATTTGCAATAGTCTTTTGGCACTTATTATTTGCTGCTTTGTTAGTTACTTATTTAGGGAAATCTATTTTATTGACCTCAACCAGAATATGAGCTTCTAGAGGGGAACAAGCCTTCTGCCTGGTAAAAGCCTCCCGTGGTGCATAGTTATATACCTCAGCCACAGTAGTTGTTGAATAAATATACTGATTGGTAATTAAAGGTGAATCTTCAAAATCTTTTAAAATTATTTATTTATTGGAAAGGCAGAGTGATAGAAGGAGAGGGAAAAGGAGAGAGGAAGAGAAGATTTTCCATCTGCTGGTTCACTCAGGAGCCGGAACACCACCAGGCCGCCCTCCATAGGTGGCAGGGGCCCAGCACTAGGGCCATCCTTTGCTGTTTTCCTGCACACTAGCTGGGAGCTGGATCAGGAGTGGAGCAGCTGG